CACACACACACACACACACACACACACACACACACATACACACACACACACACACACACACACACACATATATATATATATATATATATATATATATATATATATATATATATATATATATATATATACAAATTTTACATTGCCCGAGGCTTTTGTTTTATTTTTTAAGGCATGCTCAACTTTTGTATAAAAAAGATCAGGTCATCAGGCGATCATATGTGTAAAATGGAAACAAGTCTCACTCTTATATTTGACAGCATGTTTTTCACGAGCATATTCATAAGTGTTTCAAGATTTAGGGAAGAGCAGACCGGGGCTAAACGTATCACGGGTAAAATGCACCACTTGCGATATCTCGAAGCCAGCCGATGGCCGTGGGCTCAATAGACTCGTCAGAATCGCGAACTATCGAACGCTTTCCTGCTGTCAACTCGTGGAAATCCGACGCAGGCAAGTGGTGTTTCATAGCAAAGTGGGTTTTATGAGAGTAAGCTACTATTTTGGACGTCTTGGTAGCTTAGAATTGTCTGAGGAAAGCCACACAGTTAAATTGAGTTGCATGCCATGCTAATTCTCGAGCCCGTTTTGTGGCTTATTCACGTCATGGAAAGCGGACGTCTCGTCATGGACTGATGAGATTCGCAGGAACACTTGAAAAGGGATGGATGCACGAACCCGGCGAGGCAGGAAGCATCAGTGATGCATCTCATCTCGCGTAGTGCAGTGTTGCCAGCTTGTGATCCCTCAAACGTCATTGCAGAGGCGCTGGTTCAGGGGTGGCGTCACTGGAGAGGGAGACAAGGATCGCGTCATCTTGGGTCCGAAAATTTCTTCCAGTTGACACGCAGTACTTCGCTTGTTGGCGTTTTGCACGGGAAAGCAATACCCCCACCCCCCACCCCATCCCCCTAAGCCTTCCCTTTGCCACGATAGAGTTGTGGCCGATTTTTTCATATGCACGCTCATCTGATACATCTGAGGCCGCCGATCTCAAGTGTTAACCTATTGCTGTCACTTTCTGTCTGCCAGCCAGTCATTGGCAATAGCTCGGTCAATAAGATATTGTCAATACAATGCATCAATGATTTAACATGTTCCATTCACAGCTGGCACATTATGCACCAGCCGACGTCTTGGTTGAGAGTTCGCACCACCCCGAAATCATTGGCTGATATATGCTTCGCACTTTGCCGTGTATACGACACTTATGCTTCAGCACTACTCACTATAACATTCAAGTTGGTCAAGATATGCCGTGAGCCCTTAAACACGCCTCTACACCTATCGCGTTTTCAACGACATGCACAAAACATAACCGCCGTGCGCACCCCAAGACGCTTGTGCGTATGCGGCCGGAAGTACACTGAAGAGTACAGGAAGCTGCTGTGTGTCAGCTTAATGACTCAAGACTGTCGTACGTCACATACATTTGGGAGAAAGCACACTGATACTACTTGGATATGTTGCAACTCACCCTGCTCTTTCACATTAGGTAGGGATGGCTCCTCCAACTATCTCGCGAACTGCACCGTCTTCGCCTGACTTTAAAACGGGCGACTCTGGTTGATGCAAGCCGCAGATCACTGCGCATTGGTCCATTTTATCGTTTCGTAAGACAACCTGATAACAAGTTGAAAGTTCACTTCCTGAAAGTTGGTGAACTTTGGTTTCCGAGCTACGTTTGCACTATGCGTGGCCGAATAGTGGGTTTGACCAATTTTGCCTCTCGTCAAATATTATCGGAACAGATTTGTGATCCCCCTCACGGGCCGCATAAAGTACACTCGCTTATCCTATCGGCCCATGGGCTGCCGCTTGTCCATTCTATGCAAAAGGTGTTCCCACGTTGCTGCTTTGAAGCGTTTTTCATTACTAAGCTAGCTTCAATAATTTTAGCTTTTTCAAGCGGGCACGGTTGTGTAACACGTGGTTCCTGATTTCTTTTTTTGCATGGTAATCGCTCTCGTGATCGATAAGGACGGATAGTTTTCCCCTTTTTACTTGTGGTGGCAGATATAATGGTGATGGTACACAGTAACTTCACTTTAGTGTCACTGGACAGACGCGTACAACGGAAGCCGTTTCTCGCTGTTCGTTGCCATTGCATGTCAGGTGCACCAAGCCTGATGTCCAGATGTACCACCCTGGAACAATGCACGCGACCCGCAGTGATGAGCTCATCACGTCCTGTTAAAGCTCGAAGACGATTGTGACTCCCAACAGACGGCTCATTATTTGTAACTGAATCACCCATCCAAGAGCGCCAGTTTCCCGACGCTTTCTTCCTCTTTCGCGGAACATAGGTGTCGCTATTGTCGGGTAATTTTCAGAATCCGTGAATGGCCATGGTATTATGTAGTGAACTTGAGCATTTAGAAAAACTAAGGGACGTTGCCTTAAACCTCGCCCAGATTCGCCGTTATTCATAACTTGGACTGATGGGGGAGGGGGGCTATGCGGCCCCTTGCCGTTTACAAACTAAGAAAAATGCAACTTGGCAAAAAGCACCGCTGGACCGGTCTCAACAACATCTCTCGATTGATGGTTAGTTGTATCTTGCTTTGTTAATAGTCGAACCCATTATGCCAGGGTAAAGATAAAATTATCCAAAAATTGAACATTTTAGTGTTTCTTGGTTTATGTACAATACTATGACTTGTGGGGACATGGAACCTAATTAGGTGTGTTCCTTGTTCAATTTTCAGTACCACAGAGCATAGGGTTATGCGTTTTGTCTTTTCCTTTCAATGTATAGGTACATTAATGTAACTATCGGCCCGCAGCGCGCGTTTTGCGGGATCGTCGGTTGCCGCTCGCCGCCCGTGCAGTCCTTGGATCCCCTTACAGGGGACCTTAAAACCACCGATATTTTGTGTTCAAACCCGTGCAATGGATGCCCCATAGGCTACTGAAGAATTCGACGCATTGCACAACATAGCTGAAAATTCTCAGAAAACCTACGATGGGGGAGGGTTTCATCGACCCCCGCTACCCTTCTTAGTGTAAACATGAACGACTTTGTCGTTTGATGGGTGAGGACATGAAATGTTTCAGCGTAGAGCAGCATTTGACACTTTTCACACGACACATTACTTCTGTCCTCGTCGTTTTTGGTCAGGCCGACGGCTTTCCTCTCATGTGCCGAGTGGAGGCGCGTGGCAGGTCGCCGAACAACGGCAGCCAGCACGCAGGCCCACCGGCGTGGTGGCTCAGGTGGAAAGGGCGGCGTGGCTGTGTGGCGGCAGCCCGGGTCGCTGCGGTGTGGGACGCACCAGCCAGCGGCATAGCTGCGTGGCTGCGTGGCGGGAGGCTGTGTCGCTGCGGTGTGGGACGCGCCAGCTGACCACATCGGCAAGATTGAACGCCCGGAGTGCCAGGGGCCAAGGATGCAACAAGACCTTTAACGGATCGCAACATTGGTATATTTATTTGTTAAATTACTGCAGTAATATTTCTGGCATTCTATTCTATAAATATATTATTACTCAGCTTCACTCGAGATGGCATGTCTCGGTAACTTGGTGGACCGTGATGATATAAAACTTAAACCTCAGACTTAACTGTGGCCAGGAACATGCCACAGATATTGTACTCGCATTTACGAGCATAGTTGCCTACAGACAAATTTCATATGTCTTTTCTAAGGCTCCTACAAATGCAGCACCTATTCTGAGACCCTGACCCACCTATTCCGCTGGCTGACCGCTTACACTGAGAGAGTAAGCGGTCATCGTAATCACGTTTCATCAGCTGTACATATTGGAGTATTTCGTTATGTTGAATGCCAGCCACGTAGCTCCAAAATGGATGACAAGCAACATTAATTTGAGTTCACATGCGCGTTGCTTTTCTGAAGCCGTTGATGCTACTCTGTGGTACCCTGGGGTTTCACAGCCAGCTGCGGTGCTGACCACCATATCACGCATTTCCCGCATCAAGTTTCAGTAGCTGAACACCACCCCGAGTCTTTCTTCTTTTTTTGTCCCGACACGGATGAGCGTTTTGGCCTTCGCCTCCAGCTGTGATCAGAGCGACCATTCCGCAGACAGCCGCGACCGAGCCCGCGCCCGCGATCGCCGTCAAAACACCGTCACGGGCGGCTCCAGCTCGCTCCACGACCCCGGCAGGGGCGACTCCAGGCGTTCGACTCTGAGGGAGCGCACCCCACCTGCCAAGCTCCAAGCCCGTCCACTCCCGGCCTGCTCCACGAGCTCGTCGGCTCACCACCCCACCACCCCACCGACGGCACTCGCTCGGTCCGCCTCTGCTCCCCAGCGGGAGCTGTCTGGCGGGGCCCGGCAGGGACGCTCCGCTGGCTGTTGGCGGCGTGACGTCCCCCAAATTAGTCGGCTCGGGTGGTCGGGGCCGGCACCTGCCGTCCGCCCGCCGTACACAAGCCCGCAGCGGAACACAGGTGCCGCGGTCGGTGCAGTCGCTGGCAGAGGCGATGGGGGGGGGGGGGGAGGCTGGGCTGGCGGAGGGCAGATCGGAGCTGGTGGAGGGGAAACCGGGCTGGGCAGAGGGGAGACCGGGCATGGGCAGGATGGGCACCGAATCAGGTGCAATGGATACTGATCCGGAAGACCGGGGCAAGCACAGAAAGACTGTGCCGGGCAGAGGGGAGACTATCACACCGGCCAGTTCTCCTCCTCACAGATGACTCCCGGTCACATTAGGGCCAGTTCATTATGGCTCGCGACGCACGGCGCCCAGGCGAGACCCCAAGAGGACTGACAACCGTCCGCCCTCTGATGACGGGGCGACCTTGTACACGCCTAGTGGCCAGCCCATCTCCAGCCCACGTTCAGGCTAAGGACCGCGCTTATCCAGCGCTGTGACACCGGCCACATCGCCATCCACTCCCTCCCCGACCGCCCTCTCCTGGCCGCGCCGCTGCCGCGTCTGCAGGCGTTCCGGCTGCGCCGGCGGCGGCGGCGGCGTCTCGGCGGCCATTTTGTCTGCGCTCTCTCACCTGGCGGCGCACCTGACCGCCAGTCGGAGTCGGCGCAGCCTGGCGGCCGGGTGTGTGCGCACGTCGCGAGCGAGCCAGCCACAGAGCCATGCCGTGCTCCGCCATCACGCTCTCGCTGGCCACCGTTGCCGGTGTGGTGGCCGTCACCCTGCTCGGCATCGCGTTCGGCACCGACAACTGGGTGTACATCCGCGTCGACCGGAAGCAAATCCAGGTGCGTGCAGTGCGCATGCGCGCAGGGTTGAACGGCCAGAGGAATGCGCCGGGCGCGCCGACCGCCGCGGGCTGGGAGGGGAGGCGGCGAGGGCACTGGCATGGCATGCGAGCCGGTACTTTCCTGCGGGCTCCAGCACCTACTGAGATGTGTCAAATCGAATGTCAAATGTCAAGGTCGCTGTTGACACCACCTGTGCGACGGTTTATGATGTGACGATACAAAATTACTCCGTTAATGCGGAAGGGGAGGTTGACCTTCGTCTGGAAGTCATGACAAAGATTGGGCTCATTCGTAACTGACCGACCTTGGCTGGCCCGCCTGTGAGTGCGTCTACACCTGCAGCACGATGGCCTAGTACGATGATGAGGATGATGATTTGGGCCTTGGGGCGCACCGGCCTTGTGCGCATTGATAACGCACTTGTTCAGGAAACTCTCAGGCGCTGTTTCTTATGCTAGTGTGATCGATATATATGTATGAGGGGTTCTCCCCACATTCGAAGAAATTTGCGGGAGTGCAAAGTTAATTTCATCAACTTACACCTGCACCGCAGAGTGAGGGTGCTGGAACGAAGACTGCATGGTCGATACAGATCCTCACACTCCACCAATGAGCCATGCCTGCACTCCCCGGCGACTGTCAGCCACTCGGAGTGCCACAGAGCTCCTTGTAGCGCACTCCCCTGGCCCAGCCGCCGCCAACTCTACATCCAAACAGATCGCCAGAAAAGAGCCGGCTGGCCGCGTGCGCGGCGGCAGTCTCCGGTGTTAGACTCCTGTGCGCGACCGCAGTCTTCGGTGCTAGTGTTTTGTGTCTCCCGGCGCTGCAGTCTCCAGCGCCGCCCTGCACTACGGCGGCCGCTGCGCTCCGCCGGCCCGGCACGGCCGCGGCCACGCCGACTCGCGTGCTCCATTTTCAGCGCGTGGGACTGCAGCGCGCGCGGCGGATGGGAATGGGCACGGCCCTGCGTCGCCGCCGGTCGGGTCGCTGCTGTCGTTAACCAAACAGGCCGGGACCAGAGTCGGCCCGCTCGGCTGCCGCCGTGCGATTGTAGGCATTCAAAACCGGCGTCAAAGGCGGCCTAACATCTAGAACGTGGGTGCACGTGGTCTGGATTCCTTGAGACGGTCTGGATGCAGCTGCAGCGTTGCGGACCGCAGGTGTGTCGAGCGTGTGTCATTTATCACCGAGAACAGTCAGACGTTGTTAGTGGGTTTTCCGGGTCGTTTTCCTCACAAGCTGAAACCGCCAGCCCTCCACTGATGTTTATACGATGCCTACATGTTGCGAGGAGTGACGGCCAGACGTTGATCAGGCATTAACACATTAGACTGCAGTGATTTTCAGACGATGTCTACATTCCACTCTGATCTAGAAACGTGATTAACGTCAGACACATCTGCGAATAATACGAGAATATATATATATATATATATATATATATATATATATATATATATATATATATATATATGCTTTTGATCTAGCCAGCGTGGCCAGTAAAATCCCGTTGTAAGCTCAGCTTTTTCAGCGGCACAACCAGCAGCTCTGGCTCCAAACGGCCGGAGTGGGAAACGCGCTCGATACCCGACGTCGTGTCTGCATACGCTCCGGTTTCTTACATTGGCAGGACGAAAGAACAGCGCCATTACACGTAACTGGCGTCACCAACGGCTCGGACGCCGAGAAATTACGCGCTAGCAGCGCCGCGAAACCCCGCGCCTGAAACCAAACCGGGCTATCACTCCTACCGCGGCGCCCAGCTGGGAAAAAGGCCACCTGAATAGTCCACCCACCCAATCAGCAGCCGTGTATGGGCTCGGGTTGGGCTGGGCGTTCCAGTTCCTGCTGCGGAACTCACACCGTTGCCCAGTGACACGCTACCGAGCTTAAGGCTACAATTCAGCTGGACACGACTTTCCAGCGTTCCGTTTCGTGAAGCCAGCCCGCCGGTGCGCAATTACCGCGCTCGCATCTCCAAATCCGTTTCCGCGAGTGCTGCACTTGCCTGACGGGCGGATTAGCAGGGCAGGAAAACACGCGCCCCACTCCCGCAGGCGCCGAGCCCGCGCACGCGTGCGCGGGCGCGGTACCTGTTTGTCGCCGCGAGGAGCGCGCGCCGGAGCGGGACGCCGCGAGTGGCCGGCGGTCGCGCGCGTCCGTCGGCGCGCCGTCCGCGCCACGCGCACGGCGAAAGTGTCGCCGTGCGGCACCATGCGGTCCCGAGAGCCCCAAACGACGGCTTTCTCCGCAGAGTAAAACCGTCGGCGGCTGCGAGAGATTTGGTGGGAGCGCACGCGCAGGCCTGCTGGCCGGCCGGGAAGCCGAGCCTTCGTGTGGCGCGCGGCAGAAGCCTGAGAGGCATGCTAGCCCGCCTTTGTCGCCACATTCTGCGGTGCAGGGAGAGTAAACTACAGCTTGCTTCGCAGCTCAGCCTGCGCAGTGTGGGCAGCACACGGTGTGGCATGTCACACGAGTGTGTGTGAATGTTTGCCGGTTTCTACAAGACGCGAAAATCTTGATCGCCAGCATCATCACAAACTGCCTTGGCCTGAGTCGAGGCAGGGTTCTCGCGGCGAGGAATGTACGCGACTCAAACATGAATGCAGTGCTACTGCTATCATGAACTACATCATTGATTCAATAGACCCACACACTTGTGCTGCATCACATGTCCATATTCATTCTCATCTACAATCTGTGTGTTCTCAAATGCCACTCGTCTTCTAGCCTCCTCTCACTATGCCCACCGTCTGCCCAGCACCAGCACGTCCTCTCGTTAGTGACTAGCCTGTCATTAGTGGACGCCTGCCGCTGAGTGCGAGCCGTCGGCGCGCCCATCTAGTCGAAGAAAACGTTTAGTTCGCTGTCGTTACGTCAGCCCAACTGCCTGGTGAGAGTTGGAACCACGCTTTGAAAGATAAGGAGATCTCCAACCACGAATCTAGATGTGTCTGTCGCTTGGAAAATCTCCTCCGTGTGTCAGCTTCAAATGCGCTTGAAGCCCGCGCCAGCTGTGAAGTGCCGCCATGTGCGTAGTCGCCTTTTCTCGCGTGCTCGTCGCCTTCCAGTCGCTGAAGACAGAGGTCGTGACCCGTCGGCCCCTCCCCCTCCCCCTCTGCGGTCGGGCGTCACGCGCGGGCGCTTGCCGACACAGTCGGCGACCCCGTCAGGAAGGTCACGCCGGTGAGGTCACGGTCAGAGGCTGCCGGCCAGGCGCGACTCGGACAGTCGCACAGTTACACGACCGGGCAGGCGCGGTGCCCCCTCCCCCTCCCCCGACCCCGACCCCGCCTTGCATTCCTCAGCACGGCGGTGCCCGCCTCTCGCCGCGGCCGCCATGGCCAGTGGTTCTGCAGCAGCAAAGAAGCGTGGCACCAAACGTTCATAGCTCTAGCGGGTTGTTTTTACTTGCTTGGGGGCGAATGTAATGGGCTCTGCAGCGGTCATTTTTGTTCGGAATGACCTAAATGGACTCTGCATTCTGCGGGTAGATGTGCACGCGCCAGGCACGAACAAAATGGAGGAGGAATGCGTAGTATTTGCATGCATGCACGTATACGTGTTATCACCAGCTGCAGAATATTTACACATTCCTTCACGCACGACAGTCTATAGTTATGTAGGTTGTAAGAATCAGTTTGCAACAGTGCTGTCACGGCAAGATCGACGACAAACAAGATCGTCGGAACCGCCACACAATTGTGGCGGCGGGCCTCACATACCCGCAGCAACATCGCGGAGCGACACGTGCATCGTGAGGCTGTCGCGAAAACCGTGCGAAACGCCAAGTCACTGCTCAGTGGGGCGGACAGTTGCTTCAGAAGTTGGACATCTTACCTGTCGTCATCAAAGCCCTCACCAAGCATCGATTTTATAAGCAACGGGTGTGCGTTGTGCTAGAAAAAATGATTTTCCATGCTAAATGATAATGGTGGAAGTAAGCAAGCCGTACTTCGCCAAACACCAGATCGCTGTTTTCACAATAGTGCGGCAGTTTGCCAAAAGGCTTCACACCGCTAGTGGGCGCCTTGTTCAGAATCATCACTACGTCTGTCGCGTGACCTGGCCATTCATAAATGGCAGATCAATGGGCTATGAAGCCACGTAGGTGGTGAGCATTCCTCAACGGGGGGGAGCGCGGCAAACCATCGCTGATGAATCGCCGGGTCGAAAGGCCAACAGCCCCATCCCACCAACCAGCACGAAAACCAACCGGACCGCACGCGCCTCCGGGAACCGGACTTCTAAGCGCGGCTCTCCGCCGCCACCGCGCCAGAGGCGGGGTCGTTGACAGCGGTATCAGCTGACTGTCCCGGCCCGCAGGGCGTGTGACGTCACGATGTCGGCGCGAGCTCCGTCAGCGGTGTGGGCACCTCCGGCTAGAGGAAACTGACGCCCTTTCATGAGGTTAAATCGGGAGAGAAGAGCGCTAGGAATGATTAATATGTGCTGCATGTGCATTCCAAAGTGTTGGTTGAGCTATTTCAAGTAAATCGCCTATTGGAATTTTACTCCGGAGCAATGCCTTGCTGAATGCCTCTGGCCGGACAGCGCGGCATTAGAGACTTGTTGCAGAAGGGCTCAGGCATCTACCCAATTCAAAATGAATACTTGTTCAGGCAATCCTTATGCGAGGAACACAAAATGAAAGTGCGACTGTGGACATCTGAAAGAAACATGCCAGGCACTCAGCGTACTTCGCAACACACAGGCTACTTTTCAAATTCTGACATCCGGCATAGCTCAGCGAATGCAAGCAGTAACGCTGCCTGCCGGCCTCGCGGCGCCTTCTTGTAAAAACCAAGGCGCCGTGAAGAAGCCACGGCCTCCGCCGGCGGCCGAGTTTTCTGTGGAGCGCGCTGACGAAGTCGAGGCACGTCCGGCCGTCCTCGGCCGGCGTAACGGTATCCGGAAAGGGTCAGTGACCTTGTAGCTACAGCGTCTCTGGAAACAGGACGGGAGGCTCAATAATAGATCGCCGCGCTCAGCAGGCGATGAGAGTGTGCCCGGGGAGGTTCATGTCGTCTTCGGTACTTGCACGTTTTCGGCGCGTGTTAATGCTTGACAGCAGGTGAGATCAGACAGCAGAATCTTGAAGCAGGTGATGACAGAGTTGGCTGTCAACTGTCAACTGTGAGCTGTCAACTGACAGCGCGATGGCAGCCCAAGCGTTTTCTGAAATGAAATGACGGATTTGGCACGCGCAGCTCATTCAAATGCTCCAGTGGCTTAGTTTGCCGAATCTTAAGATATCGCCGCTGGCCTTCAGTTTGCTGTCGTAAACTGACACACATCTCGAAAGGCTGCGTTCATGATGGCGACAGTACAATGACGCCAGCTGACATCGCCGCGCCTAGGACTGACGTCACGTTTTGCCAACACCCCTTGGGGCGGCACAGCCGGCGCGCTCCGCGTCGCGTGACTGGCTCGTGTTACGCTCTCGTCGCTGTGTCAAGGCGTAGCCCCGTCCTTCACGCGTCACCTCATCTGTGGACGCCCGGCTCTCGACAATGGACTGGGTGCGACTGAGCGTAATGCAGCCAGTGCCCAGCCGTCACTTCAAGGACGCTGTGCTGCCGGTGCCTGAGGCTCTCTCCTTCAAGGCTTTCACCTAGGCGTTCACTTACCAATTAGTTCAACAGGCGTTGTGCAGGCCAGCTGAAAAACATCTGCTCACGGTTGCAATCTGCATTGCATTGCAGTTTGCTTTTCTCATTGATGTCATCGCGCGTAAGTCAAAATGAATATTGCCCGGACTTTTTCGCCACGTGGGAAGTTATTTCGATATCTCGCGGACATAAGTGCATGTAAATCAACTGGCATGAGTTAGGCTGTCAGACAGGATGTCTTGTTCTTCTCCACAGAGACCACTTAACACAATACGCTCTACTTTTACCTAGTCATTTTACGACAGCTTTGAAAAGACCGGTTAAGCTTATCGAAGCATCTCTGTTACACATCGACATTTACTTCAGTGTTCATCACTGCCAAAGAGGTAACCTTTCTCTTTTACCATCTAATGAGCTCCATTTGAAACTCAGTTCCAACCATTGTGCGCGCGGCTGCAAAGCACCGGAATTTGATTCGCTCTCCGCGCAGTATGTGCCAAGCCTCACTCTCTCAGCGTGGAAAGCTTTCGCTGTTCGCCCAGGCACTCCACTAAGTGTCCAGTTAAGGCTTACGTCGACGGCCGCAGCCCACGAACGTCACGTGATTACGGCGGTAATCGTCAGATCTGCTGCGGGGCTTTTCTTTCCGCGGCGCGGGTTCGTGCGGCTCGTAACAAAGCAAAATGTTCGTTTCCACCATTTACCGGAACCCGTTCAACCCATGCAGCCGGATCTGCCCTGTTGTAATGCCCTAAACATCCTCCTAGCCGGGTTGCCAGGAGTTCCCATGCAATGGCGGATACGGAACCCCTCTCCTTTCAGTGTTCCTTGTTTTTGAATCTGTCTTTGTTTTGTTTTTATTTTTGTTTTCCGGTTCACGTCCAGCAGGAAACGAAGCAGACGCCGGCCTTGGCGCTGACTTGACGATGGCTGGTTCGTCTTCAATGCGCCACAATAAATGATGGCTTGTGGCGCTCTCAGAGACTCTGCACACATGTTTGGGAAGATATAGCAGAGGATGAACTGGCTGCGGTCACTTGCTGTAGCTCAATATTTTACATCACACCTCTCGTACGGTGATAGCGTGGAAGCTTGGCTGGAAAGAAGTTCAGTTCCTGGAGACGGAGCGTGAGGATTTTTTGGGACGTTCCTGCGCGTTTGCTTCCACAAGCGCAACTGTACGATGCAATGGCCTCGCGATACGGGCACAGATCTTGGAATATAATAGCCCCAAGATTAGGCCCATGGCACGTAGCGCATGGATGAAAAAGATTCTCGTTCGGCAGCATCGCCCTGGCTACTTGCACTCAAAACACCATCAGATACCAACGTGCCCAGGTAAAGTGGCGCTGCTGCATCCCTCGACCTCCTGAGATGACGTCATTGCCTCGTTTCAGGACCACGGGCTCCGTGGTCTGTATTTCTTCAGGACATATGCCTGTACTTAGGGAGAGCCCGACACTGCTGCCAACGTACCCTCGCGACCAGTGCACTGTGCCAGGATGACCCCATCTTTGTTACTCCTGACGTGATACCGCAGTATTTCAGGACATGTCCTGACGTGCCGCCGTGATGTTTCAGGAGGACATGGCCAGCGGCGTGGGTACGCTGTCGGCGGCGGACCAGGAGCGGTTCGAGTCGGAGGCCATCTACCGGTCGCGCACCCAGGGCCTCTTCAGGACCTGCTTCCCAGAGAGCCGCCCCAAAGGAGGTGAGTGAGCAGCAGGCGCCCGTCGGCTCCCTGCAAACCAGCACAGACCAGCAGGCGCTGGTTTGGTCATTCGAATATTAGCAGAGCATGGTGCTCGCATTAAGGCGCAGACTGAGACAATGAGCATATCCTGTCACGGTATTTGGTAACTACATAACTAATTAGTTTAGCGGTTCACCGAGGAAACAAGGCCATTTATGTTCAAACACGCAGAAATTCAAGCATTGTCTTGCTCATTTCTTACCAGATGTTTGCACAATATGCGTAGGAATAGAGGTGGGGAGGGGGACGGGGGTGCCATGGCACCCTCACTTCCAGAGAACGCAGCCTTTAATCCTACGGCGTCGCACGCAAGAAATCGACTCAAAAATCGGTTTTGACACCCCCACTTGAAACGCACCCCCGAACGGTCTGCAGTCGGCCGGACCAGAGACGCTCTCCGCACCGGAGCCTGCGTTGTGTCAGTGGTGCACGTCATGAGGAGTATCTGCATCTTATCACCAACGGTCTGGACGGCTTCGTCAGCTGCTGCTGGTATATTACCCTCCCAACCCGAGCGCATCCAGTCACAGATGAGCTGCTGCGTTCTGGTCGGCTGGCTGTTGGCTGGTGGTGCCACTGACTGACCCAACGGTCCGGACCGGTGGAGCCACTCATCTGTGTCGATTTATGTGAAGAGATAAAGAGCGTGGCTTGAGTGGGAGTGGTTCGACCACGGGGAGTAAGAGCGAGGCGAGTGACATGAACAGGAAAAATCGCTAGGTCAGAGCAGCAGTGTAAGGGCATAATGGTGAAGAGGAGGGAGGCGACACCCATAAATGCTCTTATGACGCCATCATCGCGTCATCACCACCCCGTAACCGTCATCACCACCCCGTAGCCGTCATGGCTTACTCACGCCGCGTGACCTAGCCTGGACAATGCCGGCGCCACCTCCGCTTACCGACCACAAAGGCGGCCCGCTCGACCTCGAAACGATCGGCGTGCCCGGGGGCGGAGGCCCGGAACCGCGCGCGCCGGCCGCCCCCACCGACGGCGCCCCGTCTGGCAGCCAGCCAAGCTCTGGCGGCCGTCAGGATCTGGCAGCCGCGGAGAAAGCCGCCAGCCGCCGGCCGCGGGCGGCGCTCAGACCCGATCTTTGATCGGCGGGAGAGGGATGGGGAGGGGTCAGAGGCCAGGTCAAATGCCGCGTGCGGAGACTGATGTGAGCCGCAGCCGGCAACTGAAGGGATGCGACGACTTGGGTTAGGCGGGTGCGCCAGCTGCATGGCTGCAGGGACACTGTGGGACAGGGACACTACTGCACAGCTGCAGGAACACTACTTTCGTCCGAGTCGGCGATCTGGCGACCGTGGTCCGCCCTCTTCAGGGCTACGATGGCTGTTCTGAATCGGTTTTATTGGCCCGCTCCCGCGCCGTGATAAGGCTCAAAGCGGCATCGGGTGGGTGCTATATCTGCGACCCGACAGCACAGGTTTGCGGAATTCGCACAGATGATACAGGAGTGCTAAAAACGCCGCGTGTGCAGTGAGTAGGGTTCATCTTGGGCCGACAGTATGTACATGTATCAAGGGCCAACTCACCAACAAACAGGCTCATAACACCTGATTGCCTTCCATCCAATAAACCACAACAGGAGGGGCGGGTTTCTAACGATCACTGCCGTGCCTATTGAAGAGCCCATTAGGCTCCTAAACAGCGCTGACCTCCGTGACCCCTGGGTCTTACACTTGCAACTGACATATTAGTTTCAAGCTTTTCTTGAGCACCGCACGATGCAAGGCCGGCGCTGTGTCGACCGCAGACCTGCCGCTGCGTGACGTCACAGCCGTCCGACCAATAGCGAGGACGGCGGCTGGGTCGTGATTGAAACCGGCCGTAATCAGCTGGCCGGCCAGACTGTTCTTTATTTCGAGCCCTGCAGCGCCTGGTACCGCGGACAACAATGGAGACGGTGGAGAAACTGCAGCTGGGAAATAGTTGTCATTAGCAATTAGCCTGTAATGTAAGCTGGGGTGAAGCAATGCGAGGTAAAGCGTCTTCTTCGTAACGACTGCAATTTGCTGATACCGTGAAGTGCTTTGTTTTGGGATCGTCCACAAAGTGCTTCTGACACCACGATTGCATAATGCTGCGTGCAAGGTCGTACACCGCAATGCAAGCGGAAAAAAATGTAAAGGAACGAGCACTTGATCACAAGATACCAACAGGCGACAACAGCAACAACAACAGGATACCAACAGATACCTCCATGGAGATAAGCCGCATTTCCCTCAATTCACCCGACCACTTTCAGTCAGCGCTCATGCGCGAACGTGGAGCTAAATTTCCATAACATCTCGTGACCGTTTACACTGCAGAAATGTTCATGCTTGCAAGCACGGTCCGCAATGGCATTCCGCGTTTCTGACTGCTGATTGCTCCGATGTAGGCTTTATGACTACATAATTTGCATTTTATAGCTTTTATGCTCGCAATGCAGAAGCTATTTACGTTGACCTGCCTCATGAGCACGACCAAAACTCGGCTCGTCTTACGATCTGAAGTCTCTTGTCCATCCACTTGGTTGGAGACGTGGAGACCAATAGGAGACACGAATTCAAGCTACGCATAGTGCCTTTTTCTCAGGTCATACCTGAACAACTCGCTCGATGCGATGTGGGTGCGGTAGGTCTGAGACTTGTGTAACCCAGCCGCCAGCGCGGAGCCGGCGTACCAAAACACATGATAACGCAGCCAATTATCCCTCCACCAGCTCGAGGTAAATTATGGATGTCTGAGCTTGTTAGACTTTCTGTGAGGTACTCACACTGGCGTCACTCTCTCCATCCTAACCACCCGCTTGACGAGGAGCTTCACATAACGTGCTGCTTTATCCCACGGCCAGTTTCTTTGTTTCCGCATGAGGGAAGACCGCGGCGTTATTTCACGCGTTTTGCACTTTACAGCGCCTGCGCCGAGGCACGTAATACTTCCTCATCCGTGAGAGGCGTCCTCTTCCTCTGATGCGCGCCGCGGATTGGGCCGGGATCCAGACGAGCCCGGAAGCCGGCATGTTGTCACGCTCGCGTCACGCTCCCGTCACGCTCCCGTCACACTGGATAGCAGCACGGAGTCTCGCGTGATCGCCCTCACTGCCCGGCATGAAGTGAGGTGGGACGTCACGCGTTAAACCGGACAGGCGATTGTCCGGCGGCGGAGCCCGCCCAGCCGCGGGGACCGCGCCATTAGGCGCCGGAGTAACGGAAATAGGTGGGAAACCGAGTGAAGAGAAAACACTGGATGCCACTGGAGATTAATCGCTTGGAGGTGCTCAGGATTCAAGACAAGCTATTAGTTTTTGTGAGTCTTTCTAGCGCTTCCTAGCAGGAGGATGACTGGTGTCTGATGGCATGTTTTTATTTTGCGTCTCCGCCTTTTACACACCAAACGTCATGTAGTCAGAGGGGTTATCGCTGCTTTCCGACACAAATCTGAATAGGAGAGTGGGTTTACGATGGGTTCTACCCGACGAAAAGATCCAAACAAACAGAAGATTGCATGCCGCTGTCTTGTTACAGATTGACCAGTGTTATTCTGGGATAATGGGTGATCTACCGATGGCGGTTCCGGTGGAATGACACTTCCGATAATAATTCACAAATTTCCCATTTCCAAGACATCAACTGGAATGCAACGCAACAAACAAGGAGCTTCGAACCCTTAAAACTCGTCTGTCCATCACCTACTTCACAAAAGCACAGCTAGCCGTGAGTAGTTTATCGCATGCGTATCACACAACGCGCACCACGAGCCGCGTCTGCTGTATGTGCGCCCTTCACACCTCACCCCCCCCCCCCCCCCCCCCACCCCGGGCGGCACTTACTCCACGTGCCGTCTGCACAGCGAACACTGGGTCACAGCGCCGTGGCGGGGCCTTATCACGGCTCATCCTCGCTGCTGCCCCCCCCCCTCCCCCTGCTCCCTGACGTTCGTGCTCACAGCAGTGTTGCCAAAAGCAGCGCTGCCAACAATGTGTGCTGATCGGCCCGTGTTCCCAACGCCATATTTGGTCCGCCCTTGGCCCTGAAGGCGGCGCGGTCGTCGTGCGACCTCAGCCGGCAACCACGACCGCCGTGCTTGGGACGGCCTGCCCTGCAGCCGGCTCTGATAGGTCTCCGGCCGCCGTCCCGGCAAAAACCGTCCCATTTCGTGCAGGTCGTGAGCTGCTTTCACTCTTGTCGCTCCGTGCGCCGCTCGAAATTGGTCCGCGCTGCTCACGGTGGCCGCGATGCGAGGAGATGCGGTCACTGCTGGCCTCCGGGCGGTCAGGAGGGCTGCGTGACGGCCCTGCCGGGCGCCAAACGTGCCGTGGCGGCCGGTGACGAGCGTGCTTCTGGCGAGATACAGTCGAGCTACAGTCGAGCTGCCGTTGAGCTCCAAACATGTAACGTGCCGTGGCGGCCTCTGACGAGCGTGCCTCTGGCAAGCTACAGTTGAGCTACAGTCGAGCTACAGTCGAGCTACAGTCGAGCTCCGAACATGTAACGTGCCGTGGCGGCCTCTGACGAGCGTGCTTCTGACGGAGCTACAGCTGAGCTCCAAACATGCAACGTGCCGTGGCGGCCTTTAACGAGCGTGCTTCTGGCGGAGCTACAGCTGAGCTCCAAACATGCAACGTGCCGTGGCGGCCTTTAACGAGCGTGCTTCTGGCGGAGCTACAGCTGAGCTCCAAACATGCAACGTGCCGTGGCGGCCTTTAACGAGCGTGCTTCTGGCGGAGCTGCAGCTGAGCTCCAAACATATAACGTGCCGTGGCGGCCTCTGACGAGCGTGCTTCTGGTGAGCAACAGTCGAGCTACAGTCGAGCTGCAGTCGAGCTCCAAACATGTGAGGCACGCCCGCTCCGTGTACTATGCCCGGCGGTGTGTCAAACGTGAGTGCAGGACAACATTATTCAGCAGTAGCAGCACAGATGTTCTGTCCTTTCTTTTCGTACACGGCCAGAGCGCAATAACAAC